TAGCAGAACAATATGGCTTTAGAGTTGCACCCCCTCCAAAAGCTCCAAGACGTATTAACTTGAATATATCCAATGATAACAATGAATCGATAAGCAAGGCTGGACAAGATTTATTTGGAAACAAACCATTTAGCCCCAATGCTGATTCAACAATTTCCACAAGCAGGTGAGAATTTTTTTCATTTCATTCAGAAGAACAATAGTGGTGGTAATATATCTTCCTTGTGGACACCAACCTGACCTTGGATGAACTATCCCTTAAAGGAATTGAAAGCCCCTGTTATCATTTATTTTGCGGTTTAAGTAAATGTCGTTGTAACATACTGAAATTATACAAATATCCGGTAGTACAAGCAATGCTATGATTGTGCTATCAGATATAAACCTTCTTCGAATCATCATATCTGAGAATGAATTGGGATGAAGCAATTACAGCAGTTTACTTTGATTTCGCTTGAACTTTTAACTGTGTTGAGTCGCTTGTGCAGAAATTATTCCATAATGACTCTTGGGAGCCTGTACCTGATGTTTATTTTACTTCAAAATTCAGGATATTTCATTTTATTACAAAAGTTTCGTCTGCTTTTATGAGTCTACTAATTGTAATGTCTCAGTGAACACTCATTTGTGATTTCCTATGTCATTATTTATAAAATCTACCATAATTATATCTATTCCATAATCTGTTTGTCTTTTTAACAATGATCTCGTCTAGCATTTTGTTTTTTTTTTTCGCATTTGTTTTCTTTGCTCAAAAGATTCGATTATGAAAAAATTGCAGTCCATTATGAAAACATAGTCTAGAGATTTTTGTTATGTTTGGTGGGATTCAAGTATCATGTTTGTTTTCGGAACTAAAACAAGTTTTTTGTTTATGAACAATATTTCTAGTTTTTCTTACTCTTTGATTGTCCGAGAGAGTTTATATTCATATTTCGGAAATATTTCAAAACAACACAAGAAAATTCCAATAGAATGAAAAAAATTATTGTGTTTATTGTTTCAGTTTGAATAGCGGTAAAATTTTGGATCCCTTTGAAATGGGAGACTTTGCCACAACACCTACGTCCCAAGATATTGAGAATGCAATTGGCTTATTGGACAGGAGGTTAATGGAAATGAAGGTATTTTACTTTTTGCCAGCACTTTATTCATCGAAGTAGTCATCGTAAGAATTTACATACAGAGCGGAAGTAAACAGTCCCCCTCTTGACTTTTTAACGAGAGACGATATCAACATCAAACAAAATTTATGTAAAAAGGCATCATTTTCAGTACTTCCTGATGAGAAAGGCAACGATATTGATTCACTCGTCTCCGCGAGGGCACTACCAACTTTTATTTTCAATAGAAAGGGGAATTTATAATAAGTTTGATGGGTAATTTAGTTTTCGTTCTAACACTGTTTCACTTTCCAAAATCAGATCGCTCGTTCCTGAGTAATTATCAAACAGTAATCATAAGAAACTGCAAACAAATGATAATATCTAAATTTCAAGAAAATATTTATTTAAACCTCACTCAAATAAATCCCAATAAGGATTTACCATTGACTTCCTGCAAATAAAGGAGTCTGTGTACGAATTTATTTCTTGCATTATGTTTACACTTTCTAGATAAAGGAAAATATGTTGTGTCTCTTATGTTCGATTTCTAAAATGCTTTTGACGTCCTTAACATAGAATTCATATCAGAAATATAGTTTTCTTAGTATCAGAGGTGTCTTGTTAAAATGGTTTGTCTTATCTTTCCCACAGAAGTATTCTCATCAAAGTAGAACAACGGCTTTTAAATGAATGCACTACTTCTCTTGATGTTCTCCAAGGATCTGTCTTGTGCCCCTTAATTTTTTCCTTTTTGTAAACGATATTCTCAATCATATTACCACAGGACAAGTAACAATTTTTGCTGATGACACAACAGTTACAGTCTGTGGAGAAACCCTTGAAGAATTGTACAGTAATATAGAAACAGCTCAGTGAAATAAAACAATGGTGCCAAAAAAATCGACATATTTTAAATACTGATAAGACAGCCTTCATAAATTTCCATATGAGAAAGCCAGTTACAAAAACCTTCCATTAAAATCTAATATTTAGTGACAGCATCAAGTTACTCGGGACATGGCTTAACTCAGAACTTAGCTCCTCCTACCACAAAGACTTTGTAAACAACTCAATAAAGCATAGAATGCAATTCTCAGATGAAACCAATTTTGGACCAAGAGGGATTGTTGAATTTATACTATGCGTTTGTATATAGCCATATATGCTGGATGAAAAAGAGTTTTCATTTCTCAAAAAAAGAATAATTAGACTATTATTTAATTTGGAATACAGGGAGTCATGTAGGACTGTCTTGTCTCTATTGTACCCTTTCATTCTATTTTCATTTCAAAATGTTTTTGAAAAGCAACATTTCTGACTTCAACGTGTCAGGAAGTCATCATGACTACCCATCAAGAAGTTCTATATTGAAAATACCAAAACATAAAACTGCAACATTTAAAAAGTCTACATTTCATAATTGCATATTTCTTTATAACAACTTGCCAAAATGTGCAAATACGTTTAATATAGTTTTCTTTTTTTACCTATAATCTGAAATTTTCTTAATGTTTATCTATGTAACGTGAAATTTTCATATTCTCATGGCTGTCAGCGACTTTTTTGACCTGCCAATTGTACTCTGTATGTAGCATGGTAAATAAATACTACTATTACTACTACTATGAAATGTTTCCAGGGTAATATCGTTGCGGGCACCTCTTTTTATATCCACAAGTACTGAAATGAACTAAAGTTCAATATCGTACATTTCAAATGTGACATATCCCCTCAAAAACATCTAGAGGTGTCATATCAGGTGATCTAGTGGGTCATTCTGAAGGATCATGTCTACCTATCTACTGGTTTGAAAAATTAACAAACCAAATTGAGTTTACAGTAAGAAGAGCTACCTTTCCATTGTAATAGGCTGGTTAGAAAGATTCGAGATGACAATTATGCATAGCGGTGGATAGCCAAGAATGGTCCCTTACAGTGGCCCACTAGATCACCTGATATGACATCTCTGAGAGATTTGTTGATTTTTTTAAATGTTGATGTGTTTTTCGTGAGAGTTATTTGATCATAATTACTTAATTTGCAATATGTTACTAGCAACGACTGATCCGATTTCCAAAAGTAAAACAATGTTGGATAGAGATGTAAATTATCTATCAAATGAGATATCACAAGATCCCTTCTCCATTTGAAAAAAAAAGTTGCTAACGGAGAGTGATGCAACACTATTGCCTTTGTATAGGGAGGGAGGACTACTTACTTCTGCACTAATTTGATCACATTTTGATCATTGACAGCTTGCCCAGCAACCTGAATAACCTGGAATAGTCAGGAAAAATATAAATTCATGAAATGTTAGTAAATTACGTGCCTAATACTCGAAACCAACTATATGAACTTTTGTTTTCATGTTTCAACGTACCTTTTGAATTATCAAACTATTTTGTATAGATACCGGAAATAGAAGAAATCAATCAGGCAAAATCTGTACGAGTCACAGAATTCGATTACTGAAAACAAGGAAGAATATTATGTTTGTTGGCATTTCCATTATGGAAACTTATCTTTTCCTAGCAAATTTACATTCTTATTGGAGTACACTTAGTATTCTTATCATATCATATTTTTTTATTATATAAACCAAATTTTTTATTGATTTCAGACCGGATTCAGTCGTGGCATCAGCTTTGGTAATGATGATTTCTCATTGGAGAGTCTGGATCCTCTGAAAAACTGATGGGTGCCGCTCGTCTGATCTGCGAATAGTCAAATTTAATGCAATATTTGGTCTTGTCTTTGATGTGACAATAAACTTCGTGATTTTCTAACTAGGTCAAAATATAATGTATTGTTATATTTTTATACATAAATTGTAATCGTTAAGGTAATCTATTTTCATTCAAGTATTATATTTCAGATTATTATTCTACTTTATTTTGTTATGTATATTATATATTTTCGATTTCTTAATAAACCTATTTTTTGCACTAGTGAACTTTTGCTCAAGGATTTTTTTTATTACTTCAGTAATAATGTCTGGTGACAGGGTGTAATTTCTACCTATTAGGTCGAAGAGATGGAGTAAAAATAATTATACTCTCTGAAAGAGCGTACATGAAGACTGGCGTACTTCAAGACTTAATACTGGGCCCGCTCTCCTTTTTGGTGTATGTCAATGATTTGCCACATGTCAAAATATCTGAACATTTCACACTGTAGTCCCATGACACAATCATAATGTGGCACAGTTCGGATTTAGTCTTCAAATAAATCAATTTATAATTATGTCAATGTAATTAGAGAATAGTGTAACTCAAATGAGTTTCACTAGAATAATCAATTAAGAACAAACGTCATACAAAATTCCTGGGGTTACACATTGATAGCAGACTGATTTTAAATAAACATATCGAGGCTCTCGAAAGTAAACTGGCATCATCAGACGTTGACTAACCAAGGTCTTTCATTGAAGTGTTTTTGCCTTAGAGAAGTGCCTGGGTGGCTCATCAGAACCACTGTTCTGAACGTCTCCTGTTGTCATAGAGGATCCACTTTTCATCACACGTGACGATCTGACCTAAAAAATATCGTTTTGGGTGTGCAAAAGCGAAGAACAGACCTCGAAACGTGACAGTTTCTGTTGATCGTTCAAATCGTAGGGTACCCACTTTTTTTAGCCTTTTGACCTTTCCAATACGTTTTAAACTATCAGAAACCGCATGGCAGTTGAAGCCCAGTTCTTGCACCATCCCACGTACTGTTTGTGATGGATCAGTCTCCACCAATGTCTTCAAATCCTCGTTCTGGATTACTCTGGGTCGACCACTTTGGGGCTCATCTTCGAAGCTAAAATCTCCTGAACGAAATTTCACAAACCAATCGCAGAACATCATAATATAAGCTGAAAAGAGGCAAAAAATTGAAATTTGGAAAAAATTAACAGCATCAATGTGAAGAGTATAAAATGCTCTATCGATTAGTATACACCACGACCTCTAATATTAAAAAACAGGTAGTTTAGCATAGGAACAGTAACAGGTAGAGTTACGTAATACTAACTGGTAGTAGTTCGGTACTACTAACATTTAATAGTTAGGCCACTAGCATATGAAAACACAAATATAGTAGTAAAATTTGTCATAATGATCTGAGGACGCTAACTTGGTTAGCGAAACACGTGTCGAGAGACAGTAATATTTCCTGGTGCTTGGAAAATGTTTTCAATAGATTCATTTCACGCCAGAGGTTAAATAATCTGGTTGACAGTAATGATAATGTTCATGGACAATTAATCATTTTCATCCCTACTATTAAGCTATACATTTGCTGGTTGACGTAAGTTTTGAAATCATTCTGCTAATAATTTGTCATTTCTCAAAACTTCAAAATTTTAAGTGTCACAAAATATGTTAAAAATTACAGTTTTTCTAATATCAATTTATGTCCTCTACATACAATGCCCAAGTAAGTAGAATCATCTCATATAATCATCTCATATATCTTAATAAAATATTGTTTACGGTACAGTATATGGTATATTTATTCATTCAGCTTATCAAGAAATCATATTCAACTCAAAATGAATCAAATACAAAAATCTGTACATTTATAAACAATATTATTGAACGAAACTCATTCTTGTGGGGGAGATCGGAGTTTTGAAGAAATAAAATGAAATATAAATGAACAATAGTATTCATTGCAGTAGAATAAGTTTTCAGTTTTTTGTTGTAGGGTTGTATAAGAGTTGTACTTGTTGATTCTACATAAACCGGAATACATTTTTGAGCGAAGCTTTTCATAATTCGAAGTTGCAAAAGATTCTATTATCTAGTACGGAAATCTACATTTGTTTAATTAAACATTTCTCCTAGATCCGGAAGCTAACGATAGTACCTATGAAGTTCCTTGTAATGCCAAATATCCATTTGGCGATGAGCAACAATTCAATTATGACGTATTAGAGAATAGCACTAAAAATATTCATTGCACTGATGGAAAGGATTTGAACGATATTCATGGAAAATGTCCTCCTTCCACTGCAACAAATGAAAGTGTATTGGTGAGTTCTTCTGAGAATAGATTATTTTAGTTCATGCTTTTGGAAAGAGGTTGGCACCTGCAGAACAGATATAGGTTGAAAAAACGAATATAAGTTACTTTATATACGAACTATTCAAGCATAGTGCAAAGTTTTAAAGAGAAGATATTAAAATATTACACAAGCTGTGCATTTCATATTGTACTATATTCAATTAAGTATGCTTATTTTACTGAAATGAACTATCTACAGGAATACAAACTGAGGCAAAAAAATCTACTTTTTTGAATATGCAATATCAAGGTGTACATTATCATTCACGTTTATTTTTTACAATATGAGGAAAACCTGAACCTGAGATTAAAGCTATTTTCAGGATTTGTCTACCGTGCTCTAGTTTTGTCCTCACAGCACATAAACTACATGGGCTGAAAAGTATCGGGCCTAACATAGATGGCGCTAGTCTTATTGCATTCACCGGTTTTTTCAGTTAGTACTAACCTATAAAAGAAAGCTGTTGATGTTTCATGTTATTCTTCTCATAAGTTTGATTTATTGTGCTAATAGTGACACTACTTTTATTATTTTCAAAACAATGTATAAAAAACAATTTTGTGTTTTGATTTCATACTGCTGGGAAAAAATACCGTTCAAGCGAAGCAACGGCTTGAAAAGTGTTATAAGGACTCCACTCCATCAGAAACAACAGTTAAACCTTGGTTTGCTGACTTCAAACGTGGTCGTAGAGACATCGATGATGGAGAACGCAGTGAACGTCCAAATGAGGCAGTAACACCAGAAAACATTTTTTTAAATCCACAAAATCGTTCTGAATGTGAAGTTGCGTGAGTTAGCCGATATTATAAAGATGTCAAAAGGACGTGTTGTTAGAACAGCCAACTTATCAAACAACACTTATCTTTATTGGATAATTTGAAAAGGAATTTCATCAATTATATGTTTTTCATATCAACTACACCTGATGATATCAGAGTAATCATTATGATACTCAAGAATAAAAATACCGAAGACATATATGGAATATCTACGTTAATTTTAAAAAAATGTGTGAATTTTGTAATGGATCCCTTATGCAATATAATAAACAGTTGTGTAGAACAAGACAATTTTCCTTCGGAATTGAAAGTTGGAAAGTTATTATCAGCTTATAAAAAAGGTGATCCACCTATAATGAATAATTTTAGAAAAATATCCATACTGCCAGTATTTTCTAAAATCTTGGAGAAAAAATGTATAATGACCTAAAATCTTACCTAGATACTCACAGTATACTTGTAGCAGAACAATATGGCTTTAGGAAAGGAGTCTTGACTGCCAATGCTATAATGTCCCTCACCATATTTATTGAAGAAAGTTTTGACAAAAACAAACAATGTCTGGGTATCTTCACGGATCTTACATGTGCCTTCGATTCAATCAATCATTCAACTTTATTAATTCGTGAAACCTGTCAACAAATGTTCACTTCGTATTTGACCAATCGAACACACCAAGCGTAGTGCAATAATAAAAAAGTCAATTCCTACAAATTGAAAGGGGAGTACCTCAAAGTTCAATATTGGGACCTCTACTGTTCCTCATTTATATTAATTATGTACCCCATAATATAACTGCACATAACAGATTATCTGTACTCTTCGCAGATGACACTACATTCACAATCAGTATAGAAAGGGATGAAGATCTCAAAATAGATGATGTTAGACAACAAGCACATACATGGTTCGCCAGCAATGAATTCATACTGAATGAGAGTAAAACAATGAGCCTAAAATTTGATTGTAGGCCAAATAATTCTGCTAATTAGGAATGTATGGAAATGTGAAATTTCTAGGTGTACAGCAAATTGACAGCCACCTCCAGTGGTCACAACATGTGAGTTTTTTGTGTACTAAACTGGCTGTTTTTGCTATTAAAAAGGTTCGTGACCTTGTAAATCAAACAGCAGCGCTAACTTGTTATTACTGCCTATTCCATTCACACCTTCAGTATACTACTTTACCTTGGAGTAATGCAGCTCAAACACGCATAGTTTAACTACTAATTTTACAAAAGTCTGCCATAAGATGTCAAAGTCAAATTGAGAGGCTAGTTGTAGGCCTTTATTTCCGGCTCTAGGAATAATGACTGTTTATGCCTTAATTATATGCCACAAACTAATATATATATAAAATAATATTGAATGCTATGAAACTTATGAAGAGGTACATGAATATGATACAAGGTTCAAAACCAGAATAATAGTTGAACCAAAAACAAGGCTTTAAAAAACCACCAAAATTGATACGGGACTCTATAACAACTTACCATCTCAATTTCGAGATTTACCTAAAAAAAAATTCAAATCCAAACTGAAATGTATCTTATCTAGTAAATGTATTTACAATTTCCAAGAATTTACTCAGTTGGTCGCTGAAAATCGGCATTTGTTCATGGATAATCACAGTGGTTGAATATAATTTCCAATTTTATTGTTACGGTATATATTCAAACACTTATCTATATTTCACTCATTTGACATTCTATACATTTCACATTATATATATTTTTTTACATTTTATACATCATACTACATATATTTTATACATTTACGTTTTATATATACATACATTTTACATTTTATAAATTCATATTTTAGTCATCCTTTAAAATGTATTTTATCTTGTATGTAGATCATATATGTTTTATTCTTCAATATCCCATATCACAATTATTGTCAACCTCGATTATATTCCCAGGACTACAAATTATTCGATCATCTATCTTTAGTTATTTGGGTTAAGGTATGGACGTGTCTATAAAATATAAAATTTTCTTGAGACGAATAAAAATTAAATGAAATTATTACCATGGCCATGTTTAAACATGACAAACCGGAATTTATAAGTGACAATGGATGAATCATGGATCCATCACATCACTCCGGAATCAAAACGAGCATCATCTGACTGGAAGAGCAACTGGTGAACTTCGTCCAATGCGCCCGAAAGCACAACAATCGGCTGAAAAGGTTATGGCCTCGATTGAACTTCGAATTGCTCCTACATCCACCGTATTCGCCAGATTTGGCTCTCAGCGACTACTGGCTGTTCGTAGACCTCAAAAAAAATCTCACCGATAAGAAATTTCGCTCGAATTATGAGGTTATTATTGAAACTGAGGCCTATTTTGAGGCAAATGATAAATCGTTCTACAAAAGTTGTATTAATGGTATTGAAATGCTAGAGCGGCGCTGGAATGATCGAGTGGCTCTTGATGGAGATTACGTTAGTGATCAGAGCCAATTTTGAACAAAAAACGCGTTTTTCTTCCTAGATCCGAGACTTTTCTGCCTTGTATTATATCTAACTAATATTGCTGCGCCGTTACTTTGAAATGATTCAAATGTTTGTGGAGTACTGATCCTATGGACTAAAATAAGCCGTAGATTTTGAGATGGATCATATGTATCATGATCATGAGCCTGGAACATATCAACAAAATTGTGAAATGTTCGACAAACCTAACAGGGATGGGTTGAGAATAAGTATCCTATAAATATGGTGAAGATTGACAATTTTCAGTTATATTTGAACTTCAAGCCAAGAAGTTTATCAATTATTCCTTACAGGATTTCATAAACATCGTTTTATTAAAATTTGAAATCAACAGTATAAAATGACTTTTGGTTCAGACTATGACTTCGTTGAGCCATGGTGCCGTGATTTTCGTCAACTATACTTTCAATTCTCAATCCTTTGATATACCAATCCATTGATATATTAACCAAAAATGTATTACATGAAAGAGAGGACATTGGCAGATCTAGATCTTCAGATGATGTGGTGCTGCAGGTTTTTCCAGATTTTCATGCAGCCGAAAAAGCAAATGCGCCTCTGGAATCAATAAAGTCCCCGGAGCGCTAATAATTTAGTGTTGTTCTTTCATAATTTATATTACCTAGTTGGATGATGCAAAGTATAACTTAGGACAACGGATTTGTATTTTGTCATTTACTTTTTTGAAATATATTTCTGGTCATTTTGTGACACCCTTTGCTCTATCCTGTCCAGAGTTCTGATTTTTATGCCTGACAGTTTTATAAGGAGGGACAACAAGCGAACAAATCTTTCGTGTGTATCAGGCTTTATTTATATAAAACTGGCGTATGCCAGAATAATTGACAGATGACAGAACTTCAAGTAATTAAAAAATAAATACAAAAGTTATTTGAAATATCAGTTTTGTAGCATTGTAACCGCGTTCTTGTTGTTTTATCCGATCTTTTGGTACTTACTGTTGAAAAATGTATTATTGCGGTTTGTAATTGTATTTATTTTGCAGGATCCGTACATATTCTGTCCAGATTTTCCGGTAATCCCGCCTCCCCACGAAATAATATTCAGTTCAAGTAATCAACCTTCCCCTGAAGTTCAGTGTAAAAAGTGTGATTTGAGGTTGACACCTGATAATACAGCAGTTATACTCGAATGTTTTCAATGTTTTGATATTCCATCTATCAATAGACCAGCGGTAAGTGTAAGTTTATAGACCGTTTTGAATACTCACTTTGATTATTATCTAGAACAGAACTGAGAGAAATATCCTGTACAAAGTATATTTTATTCAAATCTCGAATTATTCAAGCGTGGAGATAACTGGAAGAGAATATTTTGAGTAAAATTGAAAATTCAACAGATTGGATTTTGAATACATGTCAATTGTCAAATTACGCGCAACAATCTTGTGATATTTGAGGTTATGTTCATTGTGCCGTTCCCAAAAAGTTTTGGTCTCCATACAGCCTTATAAATAGGATTCGTTCTTTTGCAAGGTAAGTAAATTCATTATCGTACAAATGGAATGTTTATGCAGATGGAAAGGGTTTTTGAGTTCAGTTTTTCAATTATATTTTGAAATATTTCACAATATCTTGAAGAAAATGTTATTCTAGTGATATTGAATAGATTGGCCAACTGGAAAGACTTCTGGGCTTTCTGAAATATATTGAGAATAAAAGGTGAATTCAATTTGTTAAAATTGATATTTTACCTGTATTTTGTCCATTTTAAACTACAAAGGAAACTAGACAACCAGTCTTGCTATATCCATGGCAGAACTCTCAAAATATATTATAAATCCAAAGAACACCTACTAAGAAATGAATACAAAAATCCGTTATTGAATACATAATATCTGTATTAAAACTATTGACTTGGAATTATCACAGTTCATCAATGAGTCTTTTAGTACTGACATTCTTCCTGACCAGAAAATATAGTGTCCCTCACAATAACTTTTTAGGGCCCAAATTGTTTGTAGTGGTAATTGAATCTAATGGTGTATTTGAATCTAATGAAAATACTTTTTCCACAATGGAACTAAGGCACTGTCTTTCAAAGAGTGTTTTGCTAAAAAACATCATCAAAAGTTGAATATAGTTAATTTATACATCTGGAAGAATCATTACCTTCATTAGGAGAAGTGAAAGTTAAGTTTATGTTCATTGCTTCATGATTCGAAAATGATCTAAAAATAAAGTAATAGTGAAGTGACACTTCACTGCTTCTGAATTTTATTGTAACGAAAGTACTTCTCCCAACACTATACACAAGAACTGTATCACTTTTTTTTGACGGCCGTTTCACTAACCAAGTTGGTGTATAAGGCCATGAACTATACAGTTTAGTTCGTGACCTTTATCCAAGCAGAACTTGAAAACGAAGTCAGATCTGAAGTAAGAAAAAAGAGAGTTGTCTTGGAAGATTTGATAAGATAACATCAATAAATATAATTGAAGTATAAATGACTGTTGTCTGTACATTTGGTATTCAATAAGGGCAAACATTTTCCTTAAATATCATACAATTATATATTTTCACATATTTACATTTATTTTGATTACATAAATCCTTGTTTCCAAGGTATAACATTCAGTTTTACCGAAGTTGGTACCAACTTCCTCAGTTCAAATGAAGCACCCTGTATATTTTCCCATTTTTCAATACCTGGCGTGATTTTGATATGAGTTTATGTAATACACCATATACCAAAAATTAACCCTTCTCGAGATATTAATTTGTTTACAAATAGGTATTCAGCTCTCGAGTGATTCCTTCATAAAATTCAAAAGTTTGATATAATACATAAATAAGCTATCATTGATTCATCAAAACACTTCATTTCATCGTTTTGTAGAAGTAATACTTCCAAAATATCATACAAGGTGTTCAGATTAGTACAACCTCTTCAGTAATACTTGTGATGCACTGTTTGCAACCTTTGTTCTAATGATGAATATTACTGGAGTTTTATCCCAACACCAAATCGTTATTTCAACACCTCCACACATGATCATCTTCAAGAGGAAGATTAATAACAGTTTATCCTTTAATATGGTAACAACATTCAGGACTTCTCAGTAGAAAAAAATAGGCAATAAGTAACATATTGAAATAAAGTAAATTAAACCGAATGAAATATCAATAATTTCAGATTGAGACAATAGTTGATGGTTAAAATATATTGTTGAATTATAGCAGCAGGAATCTTCAGTCTAAGTGGTCCGAAAGAGAATTACCAACATTAAAGTAGGCCTTAGAGAAAGAAGCATTGTTTTAAAAAGCCTTTTTGAATACTATAACACTCATATGTTTATACTGTCTGGTAAATGGTTAAATATTTTTTTTATTTTGCTTGACTGTTCAATTTAATAGTATTGTGTTTAGGAATGCTTGACTTCTTGACATGTCAGGCTAGGTAGTTATGATGGGATGAGTTCCTAGTATAGTCCATTATACATACTTGAACATACAAGAGTATGTTTGAAGGTGGTTGACAATGTTGTATGGTGAATTNTACACTTTTCTCTCAAATGAGAATTTGGTATCAAAGAATACTCCCAAGCTATCTGTTTTTACCATTAAATAATCATTTATCGAATAATTGTGGTCAAGAGTGGTATGTTTGTTACAAAAGGTGGTATATTTACATTTACTCGAAGTGAGAAAATAAAAATACATTTTTTCATTCTAGAGGTCGCCTAGTATTCTTGAGTGATATATGGTAAAACCACTTCAAACATTATCTACGTCCATGCAAATGAATTTTGTACAACTTGTGCTTAGGAGTGCATATGATGCAATGTTTGGAACCTTTGTTGTAGTAATGAATATTACTGGAGTTTTTTCCCAACAAAAAACTCCAGTAATATTCTTACCAAAACAGTTCCATTAATTTCAATGACTCTGAAGTTAAAATTGACAACTTTTGTTTAGTTCAAGTTTACAATTCGAATTTTTAATCTGCACCATTCTAAGAACTGTGATATCAATTCCCCTATTTCCCCTTATGTTGGATCAATCTTTAGTTTCTCATCCACATGCGGCACATTCACTTGACTATCAGTTATTACAAGTGTACTCTTTTCCCAACGGTTTCTCTAAGAAAAAGTATACGACCTATCCCAGGTGTTATTGACATTTGATGATTTTTTTCATTGCAGTAAATATGCTCGAATAACAATCCAATAATGTGGTCCAGAAACATAACTTCATATTTGAAACCGAACTGCGCGAGAGGTCTGCAACGGAAATATTCCAACATTGCCAAGACAAAAGCTCTCCAAGAAACTTCAGATGTGCACAGTTTTAGCCTCGGAGAAAAATACCATGGCTTCGTGGTCAAACAAATCCAAGAGATACCAGAGTTCAGAATAACGGCCATTTATATGCTGCACGAAAAGACGCAAGCTCCCTATTTGCATTTGTTCCGCGAAGACAGTAACAATGTCTTCTCGGTAAATTTTCGAACGACGCCTTTGAACAGTACCGGACTGCCGCATATCTTGGAACACACTGTATTATGCGGGTCGGAGCTCTTTCCTGTAAGAGATCCTTTTTTCAAAATGCTCAACAGATCTCTATCAACGTTCATGAATGCCATGACTGGATCAGATTACACCATGTACCCGTTCAGCACTCAGAACTACTCTGATTACAAAAACCTGCAAAAGATATACCTAGACGCAGTGTTCAGGCCACAGCTGAAGGAGTTGGATTTTATGCAGGAGGGGTGGAGGTTAGAACATTCCGATCCGAATAACATCAAGAGTGATATAGTCATAAAGGGAGTGGTTTTCAATGAAATGAAGGGCGTGTTCTCAGAGAACGACAACATTCTAGGTCAGAAGCTGCAGAATCTTATTTTACCTGATCATACTTACGGCGTTATATCTGGGGGCGACCCTAAAGAAATCCCCGACCTGACTTGGAACGATCTGAAAAAGTTCCACTTGGAACACTACCATCCAAGCAACTCGAGGATCTACTCTTACGGTAACTTTCCGCTGCTGCCATCTTTGGAGTACATTGATAGCGAGTACTTCAGCAAATACGCCAACTCGCCTCCTACGCATACGAAGGTGCCTAAGCAGAAACGGTGGAAGGATCCGAAAAAGGAACATATACCTTGCAGGTTTGACAACATGGGTGAGCCCTTAGAAAAGCAGAACTCAATTTCGCTTTCCCTATTACTTTCTGATAACACAAATGTTGCTGAAACATTCCTTATGCAATTTTTGACGGAGCTGTTGATCAAAGGGCCCAATTCGCCATTCTACAAGTCCATGATCGAGCCTAACTTTTCAGGAGGGTTCACTTCTTCGACAGGTTTTGACAGTCAGCCCAGGGACTGCATCTTCACCATAGGCTTACAGGGGGTGAAGCAGGAGGATTTTGAGAAAGTGACTAATATTTTTAACGAAACTATAGATGATGTTATTAAAAATGGTTTCGAACCGCATCATATCGAATCTGTTTTGCACCGTTATGAACTGTCCATCAAGCATGAAACAAACAACTTTGGTTTGAACTTGCTATTCGGCATCACACCTACTTGGAATCATTCCGAAGACGTGTTGGCTTGTTTGGAAGCTGCCAAGTTGATGGAGAAGCTCAGGTCTGATATTAAGAACAATCCCAAGTACCTGCAGGAGGTAGTTCGGAAATACTTCAAGGATAATACTCACAAACTCACGTTAACCATGTCTGCGGACAAGGATTTTGAAGCCAAACTGGAAAAAGCTGAAAAAGAGCTGATCAAGAAGAAGACCAAGGGGTTGTCGGATGATGACAAGAAGGCTATCTACGAGAAATGTCAGGCTTTGCAGAAGCAGCAAGCGGAACCTGCAAAAACGGAACTTTTACCTACTCTGGTTATAGACGATATCAACTCCGAGGTAGAGAAAGTCGATAAGGTGCAAGTCACATTAAACAATGTTCAAACTCAGATCAACAAAGTCAACTCTAATGGAATAGTGTATTTCAAAGCGCTAATCAACACCAACGAGTTGTCACCCGAGCAGCAGATGCTGCTTCCCCTCTTCTGCTACGTCATCAACAAGCTGGGAACAAACAAGCTAAACTACAGGGAATTTGACAGCCTTATGAGTCGAAAAACTGCCGGGCTAAGTTTTACTAATCACATCGGCGAGAGCCTGTTCCATCTCCACACCTACGAACCGGGCCTTTTTATTTCCAGTTACTGTCTAGAGAAGAATTGTGACAGTATGTGGGATATTTGGAATCAAATATTCAATATAAGCGAGTTGAAGGATGTTCAGCGTTTCCAGATGTTGGTCCAGCTTTACATGGCAAACTTGACGCATGGGATTGTGGATTCAGGGCACGTGTACGCAATGCAAGCAGCTTCAAGTCTGGTGTCTGGATCGGCTTATCAGGTCGAGCTACTTTCTGGCTTGCATCACATCACGTACATGAAGAGGTTGATGAACACGTCAAATTACAAGGCGATGCTGGATGAGATTGTGAATATCGCGAGGATATTATTCGACAAGAAGAAAATGAGGTGAGTATTATTCAGAAATATTTATTTCTTAACGCTGTGTAAGAAAAATATTTGTATGTTAAACTCATTTTCTCCAAAGAATTCTGATTATATAAACGTAATTTTCAAATATTTGTCAGGAGTAGGAATTCCGCCTATGGTAATTCCCAAATTTAGAGATATAAAGGCAACACCAATGCATTTATAATCAATAATTTGAATTGAAACTTGTAACGAACCACTTGTATCTTCTCATGCCCCAATTGTAACGTTGTTTCTGTTCACCTTGGTTTTCTTGTTTGGATAGCTCAGATCAAGATAGATAGACATTTATTTGTGCTTTTAATTATGAAGGTTTTACAAACGTAGAGAATGAGGTTATATATAGTAGAATACGTTTAAAAAAATGTACAAATTATCTAAATGAAGTTCAGTAACAACCCAGCTCAGCATAAAATATGTCTTAGATTGAGTAATAATATTCCTGTATTGACATTCGTTAATCTTAGAAATTCAGGAGCTGTGCATTTCAAATATGTGTTTCCTGTCATAAGAATTGAAATAAGTTCAGTGTTTGATAAGTAAAAGGCACATCAGGTGATGTTAAATTACAAACAAATACAGATAAATAAATGGTCAAATTTGTTCATATGTGCTTACAGTTGAATATCGTAAACAGACGGGATAGTCGGATTTAACTGGTCGTACCTGATATCGACGGTAGACTTGACGTAGATTTGGCGGGATTTACGTAAATAGAGTAACATGCTAGAACGGTCAGACCAACAAATAGGGCGGACCCAGTGGGATCGGCTTTGTGAGACCCAACTCGGCTATAGAACTATTATGGAAAGCTTCCGTTTTTCATAGTAGGTCTCCTCGCTGAAGACGATACAAATCACAGTAGTTCTACCATGCGAGATTATCTGCAACTGCCCTGCAATCAGTGAAAGATTGCATTCTTGTAATCTTGGTCAACAGATTTGAGTGTATAAAACCAGTTGGCCACTGTTGAATGATATCAGATCTTTGCTTTTTCTGGGATTTCAAGTGAAGTGATATTAGGGCCGCAAACTGAGCCCAACTGGTGGTCAATATTTTGTTAAGGCTACTATCCTCAAAGTACCTCCACCCTGAGCGAAGGGAGCTTCACACCATTGTAAAATAAGGAGTCATTGACCAGAGAATTACAAGGGATAGGTGATTTTAAATTGTTCTGTATGCGCTGACGTATAGTGATAAACTCAAGTTTCACAAGATGTTTTTAAAAGCAAACACACTGTCTCCAGAATAAAAAGAGCTACAACCGTCCCTTTTTTTCTTCTACAAACAGTTGCCTGCATTAGTCATGAGGTTTAGCTTTACACAAGTATCATATAGGTCTCTTCTTTAATACAAATACAGACTTCAACAAATTAAGACTACATACACCTCAAAAAGGTGTACCGTAACTTAAATGAGACTCTACCGAAGCTGTTTTTGCAGTATAAACTCCCACTTCTCTAGCATAACAGCCGGTGGAAATTTTGCTTTCCATCTTTCACCTGTGAGTGTCAAATTTCAGTCCACCGTCTATATATAATCCCAGAAATTTGTTACGATCTTTGTTTTCAATGATACCACTCGCTACAGATAAATTCTGAAGTGAACATTTAAAAGTCATTATATTTGTTTTGGAAATATTAAAAGGGAGTAGATTAGAGTCAAACCAAGACTTGATTTTTTGTATATTATGAGCTATTGTTTCATTGAGTATATCTATACCTTTACTTTGCCATAATATAGTGGTATCATCGGCGAAATATCGAACTATCATTTCGGTTTGTCCGACCCAGACAGCAAAAATTTTATATACACTAGTCAGCACTATTCAGGAATGGAGCTGAATGTCCCATTATATTTCCCTCTTTCTTTTCAAAAAGAGTTTTGATAGAAAATAAATCTTTAAATGTAAACCTAAACTCCTTTTTGTAATAACTTCAGTGACGAATAAAGTTCTATTCTATACTATTCTAGTTCTAGTCTTAAAAGAAAATTGAAACCTTCCACAAGTAAAACCAAATAAAAAAAGAGTTGATGTGCAATTAAGGGCAAACTGAAAGGTTCACCCTGAAAAGTTGCTGCGTAATTGTAAACCACTGAAGAATCCTATTTGTCATTAATGGAAAAATGAAATTTTTTAAGCTGAAAGTTCCGAAACGTTGACCACCTTAAAGAAAGCTAAGTGTATGCATTCTATTTTTCCCAATACAAGTTACTGATTAATTGGATTCTTCGATAGTTTTCATTGTGCAGTAAATTTTGGGGTTAACTTTTCCGTTTGCCCTTCATTACAGTTCAACAGATTATCCATTGATTAGCTTTGTTGAAATGCTACTAAACATGAATGTTTAGAAGAGAGTTTTAGAGATGGAAAGAGAAGTTTGTGTTACTGGTCTCTTTGTGATATTAGAAGTATACCTATGCATAGTTTATATCATCATCCCTACTAGGAGATTGTCCCTTTCAAAATATTTATTTATTTATTTGTTTATTCAACGGTAAAGCCAATTTACAAAAACATATTTAACAAAGTGTGAGGAACTACACAGTATTTTTTTGAATGCTCATGTCTGATGTCTACATTACAATTTACAATTTAAAAAAACATTTAGCAAAGTGTGGAATACAAAATATTAATAAGTCCTTATGTCTAGTGACTACATTACTAAAAGAAACAATTCTGGTACTTAAAAAAAAAATGGTAAGGTAAAAAAGCCTTTTCAATTGATTTTTTAAGACCTCAAGTAATACATTAAACAGATCTAAGTTGCTTCAAAATACGATGAATCGGACTATTCAAAGCATAATTGGTTTGGAAAAAATTTATATGAAAAATGTCAGGATTTATCGTATATTTTTGTTTGATATGAAAAGTTATTAGTTGAAGTAGTTCTGGGCAGTTTATCTCACTAATTATTAATTTGAAGAGAAAACTCAAGTTCATAGAAATTCTCCTATCTTCCAATGATTTTATATTCAACTTGGTTAAGAGTTGACTGTACTCATATTCATTTCGTTGAATACCAAAGCGATAAGCACAATTCCTTAAGAATTTTTTTTGAACATTCTCAATCAAATTGATATTTACATTATAGTATGGGTCCCATTTAACCGAACAGTATTCAAGAATGGATCTTACGAAAGCACATTATAAAATCTTTTTTGTTTTAATTGAAAAATCAGTAGAAATTCTCAACACAAAACCCAGCATTTTGAAACTTTTTGCTACAATTTCTGATACTTGTAGATTAAAATTTCATTTCTCTATAAAATTTGACTCCCAGATCGCGAATAAATGTTCTTCTATTAAGAGCTATATTATTCAATGTATATTCAAAGAATATTGGAATATTTTAGCAAACGTAATGGTTTGACACTTATAAATGTTTACCTCTATTTGTACTAGATGTTTATGATTCACTTAAAAAAATTCTTTTTCTTTCAGGGTAGCTTTGAACATATCTCCAGAAAACCGCTCTAATATACTGCACTCGTTCGAGAACTTCATCAACAAACTTCCTGAAGCGACAAATACCTTACATCCAGAGTCAGAATCAACTTACGTAACCGGAAAAGTATGGGCTCCCACAGACGCAGTCAACTGTCAACATCATGTTCTAAACGTGCCCATCAACTACTGCAGCAAGGCTATCCTAACCGCTCCTTACACACACAAGGATTACGCCAAGCTTAGAGTACTCGCTAGGCTACTATCCTCAAAGTACCTCCACCCTGAGTTGAGGGAGCGGCAAGGGGCATACGGTGGGGGTGCCAGGATTATGCCAGATGGGGTGTTCTCGTTCTTCAGCTACAGAGACCCCCGTAGCTTGGAAACATTGGACGTGTTTGATAACTCTTACAAGTGGATTCAAAATGAGATGAAGAACATTACGGAGCAAGATATTTTTGAAGCGAAGCTGGGTGTTTTTCAAGCTGTAGACGCGCCGGTGCCCCCCAGCTCTAAAGGTTCAGAGGAGTTTTTGAAGAGGTTGACACCGGATATTAAGCAGCGGCACAGAGCTGAGCTGATGAGCGTTGAAAAGGATGGACTGAAGATGGTGGCAGAAAAGTATTTGGGACTCTCGAACGTCCTAAATAGTGGAAAAGTCATTATTGGGCCGAAAAATGATAAGGTGGATCTGGGAAAGAGAGATAATGAGATGTGGACTGTAATGGATACTGCTTCTTAAGTTTTCTGTTAATTTATTCATAGATTTAATGATTATCCAAATAGACACTTCGTTTTGTTATTTTTATTTGAGACTGTTACAAATAAATGCTTTATTTATACAAGAACTTCAACTGATTTGTTTGCTGTGGGTTTTTGCGTATCTTTGTTCGACAGAAGGCAAAAATATTTCTATAAATTGATGGATGTAGCCGTTACTACGTGGCAGGAGGTCATATTGAAAAGAGAAATGAAAATTTCTATTTTTTTTACCACTTTTAATTGTAACTAACGTTACTGCAGTTTCGTCCTATATGGACATTTCCAAACTTATACAATAAACTTACAATACAATAAAAGTTTATTGTATAAGTTTGAGAATGTCTATATAGGACGAAACTGCAGTAATGTTAGTTACAATTAAAAGTGGTAAAAAACATAGAAATTTTCATTTCTCTTTTCAAAAATATTTCTTTCGAATTTATCGTTGTATTACTGAGACTGATGGTATATTAGCGTAATGTAATGTAATAATAATAATAATAGTAATGTTGAGTTTGTCCAGTAACACACAAAAATATGAAAGGTACCCATCCGAGAAGTGAGAATTAGTCGGGAAAGTTGTCAATAATTCAATATGCCCTCCTTACTTGGTTGCAGGCAACACATGCAGAAATAATTATCAACTTTCCAATGATTAGTTTTCAAGGGAAAACTCACTAAATTTTAACGATACTGGCATTCATAGTGAAATTTATTTGGGTGTTACATGTATTTGAGCAAAGGAATAGGCAAAAATAAAATATGAAAAAATTTATTACCAACTAGCAAAAGTTTACAAATTACTGGAATAAATCAATAAACTAAGTACACAATAAAAAAAAATGTACTGGTTTTGTCCACCAGTTCAATAAATCTAAACCTATTATAGATACGCTATATTAGTGGTCACAAACTCTTTCAAATTCAAAGAATCAAATATTTGTTTCTAATATTCAAATATTTGTTTTTGATAACACTTACAAATAATTTTGAATATTTTCGATTGCCACGAGTTATTTGTGGTCTCTTTTCTTGAAAATCCAATCCCGACCTGCTTTTGAATTCAGTGCCCTGAAAATATAAAAGATTTAAGTTTTATATTCAATCCAACACTAAATTTTCAACAGTTATTCAAAATTTCAAACGATTCTTTATAGCTCATGAAAATAACTGGTACTGAATATTTCAAAAGCAGCTGACATAATAATTTCCTTTTGTATACTGATATGGAGGATTTTTGAAATTTTTCATTCAGCGTATATTTGTATAATTTATACCTTCTTTGCAATATCCATTTATGATTTAATTTATTTCTGTTGCTGGTAATTTTTCTAAAATCAAAAACATGTTTTCAACTTTTCATTTGTTGATTTTAATTAAACTGGAGACAACTCCAGGAAACGATTGAAACCTATGTTACTTCGTAGCTGAGTATGTGAAGTATTATTTCATTGAATGGTTACTTCATCTTTTATGTAAAGTTCGTAGACTTTCATACAGGGTCAGTCAAAAAGTCATGGATTTGGAAATTTGTCATCATATAACTAACACCCTGTATGAGATATTGGGCTTAAACTTGGAATCTAGATGTTTGAAATATGTCCAAATCGAATGGGGTATCCACTTTTCCGATAAAAAAAACCTAATGGTCCTTCTTGGAATTTCAACCCATTTTGCAGGTCCATAGTAAGTCTTGAAAATGAGAATACTTTATTCATATCTGTCAACATATTTGGATAGAGCTCGTCGAGTACCATAATTTGAAACTGTCCAAAATAACAGGGTGTTGCGGTTTAAAATCGCACACACTGTATAATTTTCAAAATATATTTATGTATTTTTTCTAGTGGATCGAGTGCAGTTGCCTTTATATCACCTCATCTAATTATACTGTATTGTAGAAGAGATTATACAAATGCATGGTATATTTTCAATTAGTTAAGGGTTGTTATATTTCGGAGCTGGCGAAACCTGCATAGAAGTCCTCTCAATTTACTTTTTAAGTTATGTACTTGAACATTCCATCTGGGGTTGATGTTTATATTTATATATTCTGGTGAATATGACTCGTACGAAATGAATGGAAGTACTTGAATTTCTTCAAAGTTAATTGTGAGTAAATTTGCTCTAAACCACTTACACAACACAACAAAGTTTTTGTTTCGGGGTTGAAATTAGATGATTTTAATGTATTTACACACGTCAAAACCGAAAGTGACCATAAAAATTATATATTAGCTCTTGTTTTCAAGATATAGTATCATTATATTATATATATGTATATTGAGTTTTCAACAAATGAAATATATTTGCTGTATATAGTATACCAGTTTCATTAGCAAATTGTTGAGAAAATAATGAATTCAGATATACAAGAAATAAGATAGGACCTAAGACGGTTCCCTGATGCACACCGCGATAGGGAATTTGATTCAAAGGACTCTAACAGGTTTAACTTTTCTCCTTCATTTTCTTTATATAATGTCGTTCTTGTCGAAGTCGTGGCCATTGTCTAAAAAGTGGCGAGCATAGGTTAAAGTGATCTTCAGTTCAAAACCTCTCTGTGTTCTGAAATTCTCGTTTTAAAATTTCTTAACTTTCTCCCCACATAAACTCACCATCGACATATTAGCGTGTCATCCAAATATGACTCTTTTCTAGTTTTCTTAAAATCAACCTGTTTTTCTGAAATTAATAATTTATAACTAATTAAGTTCTAACTTGAATAAAATGCATTGTGAAAATTGTTTTATTATTATCATGGATAGAATACAAGCTACCGAACTGATTCATGACCGGTGGGAGAAATTGTATCTACGTAAAGTTTGGGTCGGTGTATGACAAAGAAAGTATTAGAAAAAAGGGAATAGAAACTTTTGTTTGCAATAGTACAGAATAAGGGGTAAGCAATAAATGGATATTAAAATGCCATTTTGGTTCTTGTAGATGAGGGAGGGACTTTTCACCGGCCATGACTCAGTCCGGCAGCTGTACATAAATGTTTAACAAATTTTGTCATACCATAAGAATAGTGAAGGGAAGTAGAACCATAAATATGTCATGGTCAGCATGGGGGGAATTACCATCCAGGATTCTGCAGTTTCATTGGCTAAGGCTACGGCAATCAAATATCCACATCTCTCAGCAGTCATACACTTATCGGTTGGTTTTTGGCAGATATTGTACTTCTGAAAATTTGAGAATTCTATATGGTCTAAACTTTTGAAAAGACAATACAAAACTTTTCAACACTTTTTATAATATATCGAGGATCCTATATTTTGACATGAAACATATTATTTCCAAAGATTTCCTCGATGCATAAAAACGATGAAACATTCGAAGTTGAAGGTTAGAGACAGCGTTTAGAGAGTTTTACAGCTATTAAATGGTACTATTTCAAGTAACTGCTGAATTTGGGTTTTGAAATCATTTTTTTTTGAGTTTTTGTTATCATTTGGGGTTTATGGCGGGACGGTAACCGGTTGGGTTGGCGTGAGTGGTTTGTTCCACTCGTTCAATCAATCGTCAGGTGAGAGTTCGGACGATATAATTTCACTGCCTATCGGCCAACCCGTGCTAGGAATCGCACGGTGAAAAAAAGTAAGGGCTCGTTAATCCTCAGCTCGCACAAGTTTCGACTTTTGAGGGTTGTTGTTCGTAAGGGGGCGACCTCCGATTTACGTTAAAAGAGAAACATATCCTTTTTCTGGAAATAGTCCCAATATATAAGTATTCCTCGTACACCAAACTCAATCGATTGAGATTCGTTGCAATTCGATTATTTTGAAAATTATGCAAATACTCTCCCTGTATGAAAATCTTAGACAAATTCCCGAGACCGTAGAGATACACTTAAATCTTTTGCTCAGCAACATTTCAAAAATTGGGGATATAATCCAGAGTGGAAAGTAGGTTGTCAGTATCATTTCAGAAATTTCAGATTCTCATACTCATGAAGTCTGGTGGCCCTGGGGCAACAAAGGAATGGAAGCCCCTTAATTTTTTCATAAAAGTTGGATTTTAAACTTCCCGCTAAGAAAATTACAAATTTTCATAAAAAAAATTTTTATCGTGGGGCCCCCTCCTGTGGAGGCCCCGGTGCAGTAGCCCCGTCTGCCCTGCCCTAAATACGGCTCTGCTCATTAATCAATGTCTTATGACATTCACATGAACATTCTAATGATGTAAAGTGTGCTATGCCCCATAAGTTATATTGTAAAGAACCCCTATATTAACGAGTATGAAACTGTACCTGTAGAATAAAAATCTTATATTCACTAATATCTTATATTAATACTGCAAGTAACACTGCAAGGGAAATCAAATATCAACAAATTCAATAACACGATGATGCATATGAATATAAAAAGTATCCAGAAAAACTTGAGATTTACACGCTTGTCTTGGAAAATTAAAAAATGATTCCAATATTATAGTTCTATCAGAAACTTACAAGTTATCTGATCTAGAGTTGTTCCATATTTGAGAGCTATTTATAAATGAAAATTATGCACAGTTCTGTAGCCAATTATAAATAATAAATAACATTCCATTATATTTACAAAATATTGAAATGTAGTTAATCATTAATGCGGATATTAGGCTGTAAACGCACACCAATTAAAATCATGTAAGATGCACTAAATTTGATGAACGATGAGCAGGACATTGAAAAGGCTAATCTTTTTGTGATATTCAAAACTGTATTTGAATATCTAAGTACATCTCTAAAAAACAATGTCATTCTATCTGAGCAGAACTATAATCTAGGTCAGGTACAAACATAAACATTACAAAACACTGCTTTATGAGCGTATTCCCCTTTTTTACCGAGCTTTGAAAACCGCACCTAGTATACATAATTTTAAATAATTTATATTCAAGATGATTATTTGTTGTGTAATGTAGTTTAAAATAGCCAAAAAAACTATTTATTGTGTTCTATTGAACATTAAACAACAAAGACAACAAATGTGAATGTGATGGCATCGCCTCCTACGAAGACACAATCTATGGTATCGACAGAAGATTCAATCCCTAAACATCTAGGATAAACGAGGCTCCCCATGGCGGTCCGATGCGAAGCTTCGACATCGACCGCCGAACGAGATCCGCCCTCTGTCTTTCACTGAAGCTTTCATAAAATCTCATCAGCATTATCCAGAAAGCTTTATTTTACAGAAGTATAATACAGGGTGTAACTAAATACGTGTAAAGCATTTAAGGAGGTGATTCCTCATCGAAAAAAGATAGGATTTTTCATATAAAGAAATTTCATTGGAGCATCCCTTGTTAAGATACAGCCCCTTAAAGGGGGTACATAAAATTTGTGTAACAATTTTTTTCACAAGCACTAAAAAAGTTACAATAGTGAAATTAACCTGACATTTTGTACTACCTAAAAGACACTTAGCCAGACATTTATTTGGTTTACTCCATGGTTGTAAGGGGTGGAAAACGCAACCCCTAAAATTTATTTCCAATGTAACTTTTTGTCTTATTATTTGTTTACCATTTAAAAATTTATTTCCGA